TATTTCTTATTAACTTTGTGTAAATTAGCGTCTTTAAATGTCTGTATTCCTGAAATTTACCGCTATGTGAAAAGTGGACGTAATTTTAGTACATTTCCAACGTCTTGCTCGTATGTGTAAAGTCCCTCTATTATAACGAGTTGCCTTCAAATTGATGGAACCGTTACCGAGGTTCGCATATGTGGCCATAAGTGGGCGGTGTTACACTAAAAAATTATTGCAAACATCAATTTTGAATAAATTAGCTTCAGTAAATACTGATTTATCGAAGATTTCGCATTTCTCTAAATTACCGTTACATGGGATGTGGGCGTGGTTATTGTCAGATTTTCAGCCTTTTGGTATGGTTTACCAAGACCACTGTGCCAAGTTTGGGAGGATTTGGTGAAGCGGTTACCGATATATAAACATGTAATCATAAGTGGGCATGGCTACGCATATTTTACAAAAATTTTCAATATTCTTATTTCCACCAAAAGGTCATTGTAAATATCAATTTTGAGTGATTTAATAAAATATCGCAGTTTTCGTATTTCCGCCAACTACCGTTATATGGGAGGTAGACGTAGTTATTGTCCGATTTTGCCCATTTTAAATACGTCCTTGACTAAAAAGAAAAACGCGTACCAAGTTTCGTTAAGATATCTAAATTTTTTCTGGAGTCGTGCACGTCGTGACGGACGGACAGACAGTCATCGTTTAATCGATTTCTCTTTTCATTCTGAGCATTTATGTGTAGACAATTGTCTATATCCATCTCGATTCCTTTAGGCTGTTACAAACAACCGTTATGTAAACAAAGTTATAATACCCTTGTGCACAAGTGCGCTCGGGTATAAAAACTAGTTTTCACAACACAAATATGAAATTTAAATAACTGGTATAAAATAATATAAATAATAGATATGGGACGAGTGTCATAAATCGGCCCAGAACTCTGCTCAAAATTTCTATCAATGAAAATTAGCATGCAATATTTCAAAATACTTGCGTAATACCACTTTAAAAACGCTCTTTTCGCAAGTGATGACAGAAAGCGTTTTCCGAAGTTTTTTCAGTCATAGAAATTAATAAGAACTAATGAACCCGCATGGCGTTAAAACCCCGAAATTAAGATTCAAAAACCTATAAACTATTCCAAATGTAAGTCAGAGTAATAAGCGATCCGAGTGCTATAATTAATATAAATCCGTGCAGCCGTTTCTGAGTGAGGGAAGGTCTTGCATAATGCCTTCTCGTATAAAATATATATTTTGTTAGATGAGTATTACTTTTCGAAAAAGTTACAAGCCTAAACAATTATATTTTCAAATCAAAGCGTTCATAAATCTTTTTCGATTGACACTCATATTCTAATATTTCCAAAAACTTGTGTATAATTAACTAAATTCGACTTTCAAACAGTTGGCAATTCTTTCCAGAAGTATTTTCAAATTGAAATTTCTTAAATATATTTCGTCTGACACCCAAATTGTGATACACATTTCAATTACCTAATTACCTTAATTTAGAAAGTTGTATTTTTTAAACAGGTGGCAACTCTCCTAAATATATTTCATAAATAAATCCTTTTCAAATATATTTCGAATGATACCCACATTTTAATAATTCATCCAACTTACAAAATAATTTGAATGCCACTTTTTAAACGCGTGGTACTCCTCAATCATTCTATATGTACAAAGTAAAGATTCATATTTTTATATTTCAAAATATTTGCGTATAATGCGACTTTATAATACACATGTGGCAACCGCCTTCTAAAGTAGTTTTAAGCTTAAACCATTTTAAATATCTTTTGACTGACATAGTGATACATATTTAAATTAACTGATGAATTAGGTCGAATTGGTTTTTTTTTAGCATGTGGCAACCCTCGAAATATGGTTCAGAACTAAGCCTCTTCAATGATATCAATATTTTATAAATTAATTTGACGTATTAAATAATTTGCATTTAACTTTTTAAACGGGTAGCCACCCTCTATATTACTTCAAAAATATTCTTAGTGTTAAAAACGAAAGATTTTCATTGTGCATAAATAAACTAAATTCGACTTTTGCAACAAATGACGACTCTCAACAAAATATTTACGAACTACTACGTTCTTAAAAGTCTTTTCGTCTGGCGACCATATGGTAATACTTATTTATACTACTTCAAATTAAATTCAACTTTTGAAGCATGTCGCAACTCTCCTACATGAAGTTTAGAAATAAAACCGCTTTAAAACCATTACAGTTGATACCCATACTGTAAAAATTAATTGCCTTCAAAAAATAAAACCTTGCGTCTTTAAAGCGGTGATTCAAAGATGCCATTTTAAATTTTTTAGTCCGCCAGTTTAATGGAAAGGATATTAGTTTACAAGTATTTTGACATATTTCGTGCTCATTTTCATTGAATGGAATTTTGTATGGAATGTTAGATTTTTTTTTGGATTTTTGGAGAAAATGAACGTTACCTTCAACAAAAAAATTTACCTAGCTTCCTCAGACTTGCATATAATTATTATACTAAAATTGAATGGGCTAAAAAACTGCATACTCAGTTTTTTTCTAAAGAGTGTAATTAAAAATTGTTATATTTCAACGAAAATTTGCAGAATTTACTTTAATATTGCACAAGGTTTGGAGCTCGGATTTTTGGGGTCTTGGTCGTAGAGTTAACCATATTTTTTATAAAAAATTGGCAAAAAATAAAACATGTATAAATAAAAAAAAAGTTGGGAATGATCAAATGAAAATGCGCAATAATTTTTTGTATGAAATATGAGCAGGAACGAATGTTACTCATACGCCATGTAACAATGCACCACTTATGATTTATCCTTAGATTTTCTTAACTACCTTGAGTTTTTTGTAAAAGAACAGCTTTTGATACAAATGAAGAAGTTTGTAATTTTTTCCCCTGTTAAAGTTTGAATTTTTTTTATTCACGATGCAAAATAAAAAGAAATTTCTTTGGAAAATGACCTAGTGTAAAAAAACCGTGTAAAGATCCGTAAATCTAACGTAATATTTTCAAATTGAATGCAACTTTATTCCAATTAAATGAAACTACTTATTTCCAAATTCAGTGAATCTTTATTCAAATCAAAAGAAACAAAGTACCCTTTTTAGTTTACTGTGAATTCACACGAACAACGGATTGTTATTTAAGGTCAAGGCACATTGAATAAGAAATACCAGTAAAACAGCCGATTACTTGTTTTTTTATTTATTTGGACTTTAAGAGGAGGAAATGTGACTCTAATTGCTGGCATGCATTATGCTGGCTTTGTTCACCAAAAAATTGTTTCTCATTCCACTGTGAAATTGGCCCGTTTCCAAGCAGAGTTACAGAACTTAGTTTTAGTTATGGATGATGATGATGCCAGCATCTATAAATAACAAGAAATGAGAGATTGGTGGCTAATAATGGATTAAACCCCATAGAAAGGCATTTTCGAAGTTAATAGTCTATGCCCGATCATTATAAGGTGCGCGCGATATAGCAATATAGCACAAATTGATCAAAATGACTGTGCGAAAGCGGCGAATAGACAAGCTATTATTTAATTTTATACACTATGTCCAGGGCCGTTTACATCGTGCCTGGTTAACACTGGGGGCCGCTGTGGTCTAGTGGTTAGCAGAGCACGCTACCGTTCCGCAGGGCCTAAGTTCAAGCCAAGTGTTTGACAAAATAAAAAGCAAAAAAAGTTCTTTCCAATAGCGGTCGCCCTTCGGCCTTCGTCCTTTGGCATGGAAATAGTTTCACTTAATTTGAATGAAGTTGCGTTAAATTTGAAAAAAGGTTTCATTTAAACTGGAAATGCTATAACTTTAAGGACAATGAATGAAAGGCCTTGGCGATTTTACTGAATGCACATTCACATACATACTTGGACATACATATGTACTTGTAAATACATACGTGTGAGTAAGTATTTATGTGTGTATGTCGACGGAACTCAAATAAAAATGTATAGGTTTCTAATAGTTTACTTTTATCGAACGGACTACTTAAGTTTTAAGAAATAAACGGTAGATATTTTGTTTCAAAAATAACAACATAGGCATACATAAGCATGTACATACATACGTTTATGTAAGTAAATCATACATTAGGTAAATACACGCACGAAAATTGCCTTGCACACACACACAAATAAATATAAAAGTGTTTTTATGGAAAGGGTGAAATTCTGACCATGAGAGCTCTTATCCATTTTGTTTTTATCAAGATTTTCTTCTCTTTTTCACTTCTTTCTTTAGGCCTTTAATTCGTAATTTTCCGAAAACTTAACGAAACATTTTCGGATGCGTTTCTCCCAGCTTATATGTATTTGTAAAGAGAGGATGTAGTATGTTATTCAATGAGAGAGTTGTGTGTCAAAATTCCGGTTTATATACATCAGTATGTACATGCATTTTCCATCCAGCTCAAATTCCACTATTTCCACATTATGTACATATACATATGTACATGTGTACATACAAACATATATATACACATGTTATATTTAGTTCCATTAATTGGAAATAGTAATGTAATAGTAATTATATATGCAGCTTAGAAAGTAGAACTAGCACCCCACTCTGCATTGAAGTGACATGATATGTATTTGTAAAGAGAGGATGTAGTATGTTATTCAATGAGAGAGTTGTGTGTCAAAATTCCGGTTTATATACATCAGTATGTACATGCATTTTCCATCCAGCTCAAATTCCACTATTTCCACATTATGTACATATACATATGTACATGTGTACATACAAACATATATATACACATGTTATATTTAGTTCCATTAATTGGAAATAGTAATGTAATAGTAATTATATATGCAGCTTAGAAAGTAGAACTAGCACCCCACTCTGCATTGAAGTGACATGATATGTATTTAATTAGTTATGCAACATTGATTATTTATCGCCGCATTATTGTGCTTTTCTCTATTAAATGCGAAAGTATGTAACTACTATAAGCGGGTATGTATGTAGGGTGATATGTACCTTTGATCCTAGTAGAAACAATAGCTTTAGATTACACTTTTCCCTGTTGAGGCCACGTGTTGCCGTTTTATTTTGCTGTTTTCAGTTGACGGGTTGTGGTTGTCTGCAGGGCGGGGCTGTGAATATTGTGCTTAAATATGTATATTTGTTATAAGTATGTATCGTACAGTAGTTATACTAAATGGCTCCTTATTATTGGAAACAGTTTACACTTCACATTAGTCGCATTTGATAATCGAAACGAAACTAGTGCATTTGTTTTATTGATTAAATTCATTTCGTATTATTATGTTGATTTTAGAATGTGCCATTTTTTGTTTCATATGTAGATATGCGAAGGCATCAGATTAGCGGAAGGAAGCGGAAATCCTATTTTAATCGTTAACTTGCTGAGTGAAACGGCGTCAATTTGCGATGAAATATTATCTCGCTAGCATCGGTAACATTTTAGAATGGTGAATAATGATTAATATTGTTGCTACTGCTGCTGTTGCTGTTGCTACTGCTGTTACGAACGCTTATTCTGCTTGTTCGGGTATTACACCTTTTAATCGATATTAAAATATTTATTAATTCTTGTGTTTGTTTCAATTAAATTTGGAGCTATGACATACACTTTTTACATATGAATATACATATGTACATATTGAAGTGATATCTAAGCTTCACTTTTTACTGCACTTTCACATTTTTTTTTTGGAATCAACCATGCTAACGATTGACGTGCGGCGTTCATTTGTCACTTTTTATGTACACTTTTTTTACTTTTATTTGCATACTTAAACGGTTTTCACTGCGCCGCCCCCCAAAACTGTACAAATTGCGATCTATCTATTTAGATATGCATACTAATTCGAATATAATGGTGGAAGGAAGACAACATATTTATCTATTTATTTAGATTTATTCATACATATATGTATGTATGTATGTATGTATGTTTCACTTTCTTTAATGCATTGTGGTTGAATTACAAGTAAAATAACGCACTTTTTACATTAAAATTTAAACATGGCGATTTCTTTTATTAAACCTTATTAGAAATTGGGCATTCGGGTCACTTTACTTGCACTATTTCTAAAAGGTGTTTGTTTTATTATATTTATATTTTTATTGTGTTATAAATTTAGTATTAACACGATTTGACAATGAATTTTATTTCGAGTGCTATGTACATATGTAAGTATTGCGATGTTTTTGCGTTGCTCTCGTTCCAATATGTAATGCTTCCAAAGTTTTACTTCCAGTTAACTATACACTTCACCTTCTTTTTCTGCTTTTGAGCGACCAGCTGTTTAAAAGAAGCACCCAACAACAAACTTGCGCTACACGCAAAGCGACTTAATTACATACATATACATATAAGTATGTACGAGTATATTGAGAAATAATAAATGAGGTGGAATGCGAAGTTAAGCCAACGGACTTTTCCGCAGTGAATAGGTACCTGAGCGATTTTCCTGCCATGATAGCTTATTTTAAATTGAACAGACTTTGCTGTGAAATTTCATAGCCTTTCATTATAATTCACCTAATTCATCATTTGTGTCGTATGTACGTACATACATAAATACATCCATATGTAACTTAATTCTTGCGCACATTTTATCCATTGAAGTATATATTTAAGAATCTAAATGTAAAATATACCTTTTTGTCTATGAGAGTATATTAGCTATACCGGAGGTAATTTAGGCTAACCATATAATATTTAAGCCTCATAGCTGGTGCGAAAAAACTGTAGCATTGAAGTCCTTCGGCACCATAAACATTTTTTTATTAATCTTAATACCTTATGTAGCGGTTTAAATGCGAGTACGAAGATGATGCAATATACATATATGTATGTATGTATAAACGTATAACAAACATACATTTTACATATGCACATACAACCACGCATCTTTACAAAATTTCAAATTTTAAATACTCCTTAGATCCGTTTCGAGGTTTTCAGAATTTTGAATTTAAGTCCTGAAACAACTTTATTATCATAGTTTTGTCTTACAGCTTTTTAAAAATGTACATACATACATATCTATGTATATAACCCTCATTGATTCAAAACGCGAATACTTATCTACTCGTAGTTAATATTGCCTAACATTTTATAAATTTCACATCTGGCACACAAGAAGCATTCAATTCAAAAGGACAAGCATCAAAGCCACAGAAACTGAAATTTTCAATAAGGCCTGCACATATCGATTTTTATACATAACTTTCGCATACCACTATAATGAGTGTAGCGTGTTTGTGAATTACATTTGCTCATACAATTGGTTAAAAATGACTTTCGGATATTTTGTGTTCAGGCACGTCTATTATATAATACATGCTATATGTAAATTGGCCCAGGGAAGGTAATTGTCTGAAAGCACTGGCCTATTAATCACATATACGTTTAACTTCGCGATGTTCTGTAGAACATTTTTCACCAAAGCAAAAAATTTACCATTCATCGATTTACATATTTAGTTATAATTACCAAAACACAGATTCTTACAGATTCTTCGTTATTGCAGACACAATATACACTTAGAAATATAAAAATATCGTTAGTGTTTAATTCGTTTTATCACTGCTTTAAGAAACTCCTCGACAGCACCTATTTTTAAATGTTTCCTCAATGATATAAAGATCAAAGCAGTTGCAAAGTGAACTGCAACAGCTATTAACCGACCCTCCGCCTCAGCGGTAGCAACAGCAGTGCCAATGACGATGGCGAAAGTAGACACGATACTGACGGTTACAGGACGAACGAGCTGCCTGCCACACAATAGCTGCCAAACACATATGCACATTTCTGTGACAAAATAATGAATCAGCAAAGCCCTGAAAACTATATACATACATACGTATATACACTAGGGTGGTCCAAAAATGCTTGTGGGGGAAAAAGTAAGGTTGGAATTTTTATGCTTCACCCCCTAGGATTGTTCTATAACGAAAAAAATATACCCTTATTTTTTATTTTGAAATCAAAAAATATTTCGAGGTCGCTAAAAGCGCGCAAAGTTTTTCATGGATTTATTTTATATGGGGAAAAAACAACTTTTCCTAGAAATGGTGTGAATAGTTAAAAATCAATATTTTTCTGCCAGAAAACTCTGGTTATCTGCAGGAGATTCCCAGTAATAATACCCAATTGTTTCTTTATCCATTTTTTCATCGCAACTATAATTTATAAGTCCGCCAAAAACCCACGAAAACCCGAAAAAATGCAATGGGGCCACCAAGTAAAAAATGGTTAAATAAACAATTGGGTATTATTACTGAAAGTCTCCTGAAGAAAACCAGATTTTCCGATCGAAAAACACTGATTTTCAAGCATTCTATACCATTTCAACGAACAATTTTATTTTTCTAATATAAAAATACATGGAAAACTTTGAGCTCTTTGAGCGACCTCTAAATATTTTTTTATTTCAAAATAAAAAAATAGGGATATACTTTTTTTCGATATAGAACAATCCTATGGGGTCAGAGCATTACAATTCCGACTTTACTGTTTTTGGACCACCCTAATGTGCACGCATACGAATATAACAATGTGACAGTAGTAGAAAATTATAGAGAAATACTTAACCTTCGAAAGAACGTGGATTTAGTCAATATCATTCGAGACTAGCAACTATATGAAATATAAATTTAAACCTATTGTAAATTATTGTAAGGAAAGCAATTTTTGGTAATTTCTACTTCATATAATTAAAAATTTTGAATTAATTAAACTATATTTATTATAGTGCGCACTTTGTCCTGCTTTCATAAAATTCGTCCTTCTTGCTAATAAAAACCCGAGTCACAGCCAGTTTTACAAAGTGTTCGGCTGCTGAAATAAGTACTTCGTGAATGCTTATACGTACATGTAGCATTTAATACAATCACACATACATAGATGTGTTGTATGTATATTGAAAAGAGGACACGCAGACTAACACAATCGACATTGCTATTTTGGGTGGCGTGCGGCGCCACATCCTGGTGCTTTGCACGCCTTTTGCTGGCGCGGCTAAGCCTACGTTGCCTTTCCTTCGCATAAGTTCGCACCCTCTTTTTCCACAATCTACCTAGACCCCTCGCGCTCACACCATTTTGCTAGATACATAACCCGGATAGAAAAAATCGAAAGTCAAATTTTCCAATTAGAATTTTTTCAGTTGTATCATTAGTTGCCACACAATTTATGCTTAGAAACACTTTTTATAGATATGCACACACTTTTTTAATGATTTTTTCTTTATATATGCATATACATATACATATATATATGTATATAATTTTTCAATTAAATCACATTTTGCACAGAAAATCGTTGCCTTTTTTAAAAGTAATGCTTTTCCTAATTGATACGAACCGAATTGCGAACAGATTTATAGTTTTAAGCTATTAAATTCTACTTTTTAGCCAGTTTGAAAAAAATATCCTTATATTATATTTTCTATGTATTGACTTAGGGTAGTGAACAGTTAGTAAGTTTTGCAAGCGCTGCCTTTTACCCGAAATCCGTTCGTCTCTGTGGTTCGCTTAAACTGTCGTTTTGGACTCGCAGTGAATACCATCGAAGTCGGTGCTTCGTTAAGTTTGACACAAAAACACGAATTTTTTGCATGTGTAATTGTATTTGACGAAGAACTATGTTGGCGCCCAAGAAATACCTTGCATGTCGCACGCCATACTATGCACATGTAATATCCGCCACGCGCCATGTGCCATCGCCATACCACACACAAAACATGCAGTCTGCCTTTAACGGCCACTCGTTGACCCTATCCGCTGTCATTTTCGTTTGCCTGCACCAACCCGTTGACGGCCGTAACACTCGGTCATTAGGACACCCGAATGAAAACCGAACATCTTCGCTTTGTTTCTCGTTCAGTATTTATCGAATTGTCGGTCAATTTTCGTCAAATTTTGACAGAAAATGGTGAATACGTCAGACCGTAAAGTCGTCGTTTATAACTGACTCACTGCCTTCAAAAAATAAAGAAACAAAAACAAGAACTTACAAGGAAACGAAACGAACCAGCTTCGTATTGAGCACAGCGCACAGTGGTACAGACCTATAGATTTTTTTTTGAAAAAACTAGACGGCATAGGCATAGAACGTAACATTTGCGTATGTAACATTTATGGGCATACATAAATCAAGAAATAAACGAAAAATTGGCGTGATCGATTTAGTTTAAACCATACCTCCCATATAAACCTAACCTCAAAAACGTTTTAAAAATACAAAATAACCACCGATTATTATATTAGTCCGAAGCACACCACTGAATATATTACTCCGAAATTTTCTCCATTAATTTTTAATAACGTTAAGTGTGAACCTTAAAAAATTGGGCGTAATCGGTATATTTCAAAGCATACCCATACAAACCTAAATTCGAAAATGCCTTAAAAAGACCGCACAAAGCAGACGGATGAATAGTATACAACTAAACATCCAAACAATGGGAGTAATCGGTAATTTTAACACATACCTCCCATGCAAACTTAACTCCAAAAACGTCTTAAAATACCATAAATGCCATCATTACTATATGAAGTTACATTAAAAGTCGCCGATTTCAGCCAAATATTTTTTTCTGACATCGATAGAAAATACTTGAGTCCTGAATTTTGTTTACAATAAGGATACGAAGGAAGACTAAGGAAACACAGTCAACGCATTTTTGAAGTGTAATTTTTTTCTGTTTATATTACATACACAGTGCGTAAAAATAAATATGTGTTAGTTACACCGACATGACTCCTGGAATGACTATGAATGATTCAACTGTGTATAGTCGAAGGTGAGTCAACACGTACACAAATGACTCGCGAGTCAGACGCACCGTGTATGCCGCCTATTATATTTATTAATATATACGGTCGATTGCCCTGATTTTCTCTCTTTTTTGTCTAGCACTTAGCTATATTATCATATGAACCTACAACAAAAATAAAAAAATAAAAGTCAGAAAAACACATTGCTTAAGTGAACAAAAATTTCATTCAGTTTTAACTGAATAAATTTGTTGCGACTTTTGTTGTTTTTATTTTGTATAAAATTGCCGAACCAATTAAATATAAAAATAGAATATTCAAAAGATTGTATTTTTTCCGCTGAAATACCACTGTGCAGAAAACGTGCATGCATATACATAAGTACCTGTATATAACCATAAGCGGCATTAGAGTGGCTCACGGGAATTTCTAGAATATTCTTTGAATATTTGAAGTTGTGGAACAAATATTGTTGACGAAGCGATATTCTGCCGATATCCGCAATGCGTTTTTATAACTTTAGTCCCGCAATTGCCTCGCCCATTTCTAGGGGTTTCTCGCTTTAAAGAAAAACCTTGCCGTATAAATATTATATCTGGATAAGTATTCTACCGGAATACGCAATCAAATTTTAATTTTTAATAAAAAACTCATTTTAAAAATAGTTCGTGAAAAATCCCAAATTTTTTTAAACATGTTTTTTTTTTATAGAGAATTAAACAAGGAATACGATGGTATAATTTTAAATCCCTAATTTACTGATATTCACTATGCAAGTCATCTTCAAAAAGTTCAAATGTTAATAGCTAAGATAGCTTTGGGACAATCTTGACCACCTTATATATAGAAATGTTAAATCCCTAATTTACTGATATTCACTATGCAAGTCATCTTCAAAAAGTTCAACTGTTAATAGCTAAGTTGGCTTTGGGACAATCTTGACCACCTTATATATAGAAATGTTAAGCCCGTTTCTTTAGCTTTAAAACAACATTAAGACAACAACATTAAGTCTCTACGATGCGCAGACCCCGAGATATAATGCAAACTTTGGCAGATCATATCTCCGAAGAGAAAAAAAATAAAACAAAATTCTTGGAACACGTGTTAGCTTATTTCATGCGTGAAACCAAATTTGGTGTCCCATATGAAAGAGAATGTCTCATAAACGTTGTATAGTTAAAAAAAAAAGGTATGTTAATTTAACGAAGAAAATGTGCTATTATGTATATGTATTTTGAGACACTCTAATGTACATACATATGTACACACATGCACCGAACGAATTCGTGGCCGGCCTAAGACACACATCTAATTAAGTTTTCTATTCATAAGAGCATTTAAAACATTTCGAATTCACAAAAGGGCAGTGAATGGTATTTTGTGATATTTTGTGGTAGGATAAAAATTAAAGGCCAAGCTATAAAACCGAATCCAAAAATTTCTTGCGAATATACTGGTGTGAACTTAAAGGTAAAATTCACAATAATAATTTAATTCACTCTCAGAAATAAGTGGGGACTGTTGGTTTAAAAAGTTGAACTTAATTCCCAAACAACAAACACTGAAAGTTTCACGGTAAAAATAAGATATTAGAATATTTATATTTTAAAATAAGTTAATAATAAAAACAAATAGTTTTATAGCAAGCTTTCTAAATATGAACGAAATCGGACCATAAATACAGGCGAAATTTTTAGTGGAGTTATTCCTTTTCATGTAATAAATATACGCTCTTAATATGAACCAAATTAAACCATTGCAAAATCGTTATTTATTGATTTTTATTTTTTCGAACAATAATAATCGTTACATTGGGATTTTTGTTTTTTTTCGAACAAAAATAATCGTTATTTTTAATTTTTATTTTATTCAATAATTTTTAAGCACCACAAATATTAGATCTGAAAGTAACGATTACACGAGAGTACCTAGTATAATCGAAAAAAAGAAAACTCAAAAACTAAAAATGTATTAAAAAACAAATAAAAATCA